CTAACCTCACTGAGCCCTATTATATCCCATTTAACACCCTCTAGCTCCTCGAATAGTACAGCTAGACTTCATTCACTAGATAATGTTCTAGTGTTAAACGTTGCCAAGTCCAGGTTCCAATGGCGGCCTGTCCGGATCCAGAGATTCTTAGCACCCTCTGCTGCGTTGCAGATCTGACCGCCGCCGTGGTCAGTTGCTTCGCAGCTGCTGGGGACTGAGGGCCGTGAGTTATTTGACGTATGCATGTGGGAGGTAGTGGCCAGATACTTCACCAGGGTGGCCAATCCTTCTCTGGTGAGGGAGTGCGTTTCCGGCGGTGGTTACCGGCGAGGCCGCACCCCAGGTATCTTAATGCAGTTCCATAAACACGCGGATTTTTTTAAAATCCGGTTGGGAACTGCGCGGCACCAGGATTTGAACCACGGACCTCTTGCATGCGAGGCGGATGCTCTAACCACTACACCATCGCCGCTATCGGTCCAGTATGAGCGGAGTCAAAAAGATTTGTCGCATGCTGCAATCACATTCTGTCTTCTCTCGTCCTGGCGAAAGCACTGAAAGCTAAGCAGGGAGGGAATGGCACTGCCAAAGAAAATATGTCACGCGCGCATGACATTGAGCACCTTTTTAAATTTTTTTTCGAATACGTGGCTTTTTCAGTGGGATCGCGCATGCACGCGTGAACAAGTCGTAACCTCCCGTGGCGATCTCTTTAACATTACAAGTGAGCCATGTTTGAATTAACCAATGGCTAATAGAAGGCCTTCTACGAGTGATTTTTGAACTTCTCCCGTCACTTTTCGAAAGAGAAAGCAATTTTTAGCTGACTTTGATGATTCATTGTGAATTCCAGGTCGCACGATGCGCTATAACATTTGGCTTGCATGTTCTCGGAAGCCTCTACTACCGATTGTCGGCATTTTCTGACCATGCTCAAAAAGAGTTGTAGGGCCCCTTTAAGAAAAATGCTGAAGCATGGCGCAATATTGTACACTTGCTCTCAGAAAGTTCACCCTCGCCAGCAATGATTGGTTTGGGCTCGCTTAAATGTCATCGATGGAGGATGTACTTGTGATCCTCACCTAATCTGTGAGGTTCAATGGTCTCTGATGGAACATGGTAACATAGCACCCCTGTGCAGTGTTTATGATCGCTTGTATTTTATAAGCCAATTCCACGTTTACCAGCTTTGCTGCACAGGCTTAGATAATCGTCAATTATATCAGTACTTTGTCGCAGCTCGTATGTAGTGCGACTATACAGATTAGGATCATTGGAAATCTGTTGGACAGATTGGTGTCGCAGGACCAATGCAAGCTTTAGAATTATAGACGTAGTTGGGAGATATCCTTGAAAATTTCTTGATGCCCTTTATGCCGTGGACTTCATTAATCTGGTGTTTCTCGCTGGGGTGTTCTTCATGACTACATCATTGTTTTGAATAATAAACTTGCATTGTTTTATTATTACCATCACGTTGCTTGTCGTTTTTATTTGTGAGACATTTTGTTTCTGCAACATAGTGTGACCAAGCAACATGTGGACACACACATCCGGTGTTGTCTAGCAGTATTCATAGTGGTGCTGATGGTGAGGATTTGTAGCAGTCCCGACAATAAGTCAATAAATAACCTTTTAATGAATGTGTGATTGGGAATTGGTATTGTAATGAAATCTGAGAACTGAAGTGGGATACAGTAACATTCTCAAGTAATTCAAACATAACACAATGGCACATCTATCGCATCTAACATGTGAACTTTTGTAGCACTTCGATGTATACTTGGTCAATGTGTAGCCACAACTGGGACAAAAAAAAGGCTTGATGGAGGCGTAATTTTGCCAAGAAGGGAATAACGCAGCTGTGAAGTTTTAGTAAGATTGTCTTTTCCACCTTCTCAAAAGTGTATAGTCTTGATGATGGCTTATAAAGGCAGCCCTGATTTGATAATCCTCAGTTTGATGAGATGATTTTGTAGAACAGTAAGGATGCAAATGAGTACCAAGCAATAACTGCATAGATGGCAAGCGGTAACCTGCTGGGACAGATGCTGCAAAATGTGATAGCAGTGCCATTCCTTCGAGCTTCAGCCACTTGTGCACTAAGTGCAAGGAGCTGTGAAACTGGTTCAAGAAACGTCGAGCGCATTCAATTAGTCAACCTGTGATGTGATTGTGCGCATTTTAAAAAGTGCGTGACGCCATCAGCCTGAATCAATAAGGACGACATAGATGACGCTCGGTTTATGCACGTGTGGGGGTGAAGATTTGAAGCCAATAAGAGGCCTCCATGGAGATTCAAGACAGCCATGGAAGAAGACCAGTGAAGCCAGGCAGACGTGGCTGAGTCGGGACCGGCTGAATAAGGTGGACCAGGGCACAGGGGTGGCGGCCAGCAGAGCTTCTGCATCAAGGTCGCTGTGGGCTCCCACCTGGACACAGAGCTGCTTCTCGTCGCCAGGGCGTGGGCCAGGCTTGTTCTGGTCTTCTGGCGTTGGCCAAGAACCGTCTCCGGCTTCGTGTGCGAGCTGCGGCTGCCGAACGCCGAAAAGTCACTGACCTCAACCATCAAGAAGCTTCTTTCCTTGCCAGTCAACGATGCGAGTGTCTCAATCGCATCACCACTGTCACCGTTTGCGGGAGTGCATCCATGCCTTGGTAGCAGAGCCTCCGCTGCAAGCACCGCGTCCCACTATGTTGTGATAAGGGTTATTTTCCACTAAACATTTATTTCCATACACTGTTCACATCTTTAGCCGTTTGGTCTTCCTGCTAATCTCATTCTAGTTATTAATGCTGTGTTCTTTGTCTGTTATTTGTCTTTTAGTGGTTTCTGAAATATATTGAGTGTTAGGGGATTTGGTGGAAGCAAATGGCCTCGTCCGCTCATCTCTCGATGATGGTTATGTCATCGGTGGTTTTTGCTTTACATGAACCTACACGAGAGCTTACCTATTAAATAGCCTCGTGACACAACCTTTCTTTATTGGCATCAGAAATGTTATACATATCAGGTAAATATGCAGGAGGAGGTCCCAAGGTTACAAACCGCACCCAGAACCACCTTGTGTTAATACAAAGAAAAAACTAAAATAAAAACAACAAAAGAGTGTCCTTTTCTTTTTGATGTTACAAGTAACAAATACATAACCAAGTGCTCAGATTAGCACTTCAAAGGGCTCCTGAAACATGGTTTTTTGAAGTTTTGTCAGTGTTAAGGCTAGAGCATCATCAAACTATTCGCACTACAAATTTAGTGATACGCCGTGTACCATGTAGCTAGGCCACTACGGACAATTATATCATGCTTTCCTTCTCACCCCTGCCTGGCCTTCTCAACCGTTGAGGCATGCTGGCATCGCTTTAGATCGCAGAGCCCTCATGAGCGTGCTCAGTTTTTAGCTTATACCAGTCTAAACTTTTAAAATGGCACGTCGACAGGTTGCGCACAGTCTGGGATGCCATAACATTGTGCGCCTGGGAGCACGCACGGCGTCTGGCAACAGGGACAAAGTGGTTCATGTCTGCCCCGACAGGTGCCACCACCCTAACAGCCTATCTTATTTTCCGCCCATTCTACAGCCAATCAGATCAGAAGCCACTGTGACGTGGCTGTTGGCGTTCTTTGGCCTCGTCACGTGACAGCTTTGGGAGCACCTCTATGGATACTTAGCCAATGTGTACGTGTTGGATACTTAGCCAATGTGTACGTGTTGCATGTCTGTGTGCTTGACTGCAGCACATTCAAACTCCATGATTCTGTTTGTTCTTAAACAATACTAGAATTTTTTTTCCAGGATTCTCTTTTGATGCACACTTCAAAGAAACGGGGTTTATTAGTCAGCTGCCGCTTCGTGCATAGATCACATGCCACATGGCTCCTTCTGGCGATAAAGAGTGTTCCGCACTCACCGTCTCGGCTACAAATGGTGCTGACCAACACTCCCAGGGATTGCACATACGGAGATACCCAACGTGGTGCATGAGGAACTGCCTTCTGTTATTGCCGAGTTGGTAAAGTGTCAAACGTCTTATTCAAAAGTAGTGGGTATGGATCCCATCAACAGAACGGGTATTTTAAAGCGCAGCTTTTATGCCCTTCCCTACTTGAGCGACGGTGTCGTTACCGGCGAAGTGAAGAAGTATAGAAAAGAGTGAACGGAGAGCACAGTGGGGAATGGAATGTGGCTATAGCAAGGAGAGTGAAAGGGTGGGGGGGACGACAGTGGCTGGACATCAGGTTTCATGGCACCACAGTTGTGCCTGTTGTCCTGCAGTTGCCGATGTCATCATCACTGAGGTATTCAGGGAGGGCATCCACTAATACCATATATGGAAGTAAAAGCGCTGCATCAGCGGAGGCTTGTCTGCGGCGGCTGTTGTGGAATGCGCCCACGCACTGCCTTCTGCGGTCTCTTAGTTTGCAAGGCAGTGATGTTACGCTCCGGCTATGGTTGATGCGAAATGGTCTGCACGAAATTGTCTGAGCCACTTGCGCTTCACACGGCGCTGTCCTTTTAACGTAAACCATGTGCCTACAGACAAAATAGTCTCAGCCATTTTTTTCTCAACGATGAGTGATATCTAAATAGTGTGTGCTACGAATTCGGACTCTACAGTATCATAACTGCGATGACTTTTTTCATCCATTTTAATTCATATCAATAACCAACCACAGGGGTTCAGCGGCCAAGGCACCCGGCTGCTGACCCGCAGCTCGCGGGATCAAATTCCAGCCGTGGTGGCCACATTTTCGATGCAGGCGGAAACGCTCGAGGCCCGTGTGCTTAGATCTAAGTGCACGAACCCCAGGTGGTCAAAATTTTCAGAGCCCTCCACTACGGTGTCTCATACGGTGGTTTTGGAATGTCAAACCCCAAAACGATTATTATTAATTTATATTAATTGTGCCAATTACTACACTACAGTTGAAAAGCACAGTTAATGGCTCCTATGCTTTCCCTGGCATAAATTGTTTGTCCTTGCAATTCTTCCTGCAGCCCAAGCTGTACAGGAGTGTCATCGAGGATGTCATAAATGGAGTCAAGGACGTCTTCCTGGATGAAGGCGTGGACGAACAGGCTCTTCAGGAGCTACGTCAGGTGAGCAACGGGATCGAATTCGTTATTTGCTGTGCAGTAAATACGCATGTCGCTGTATTGTGCTGCCACTTGTGATGTTGTAGAGTGGCTGGCGGCAAGCAAAGACCCGCTGACCACCGATTTTTTTTCTTACCACGACTACATGCTGGCTAAATCTGGCATAGCTGTTACGTGCAGTGAAGACTGCCGATTCTCGCAACATAGAATGATTGCGTTTGGCAGCGGCACACATGTTTTACTTTTGTAGAGCGGAGGCTTTCTGTTTCTTCTTCTGTATCTTGCTTCCCACATTCTTCGTCACAATGTTCTCCCCCGCAGGGGCGCCTGATAAAGCAGGCGTTTGGTGTGTAGCGACACCACGGACCCGAGCTAACGGGGGAGTTTCTACTCCCTCCCACGCCTAGCCGTGCGTGGCTTTGCCGTGTCCGGGGAAAAGGGAATCCTGGGGGTTGAGCCGACGCTGGGTGATTGGACCTTTAAGGCCCCCCGGCAGAGGCAACACACCCCTTTGGCCCCGGCTTCACGTAGACGGCACCCCTGGGCTGACCCACCCAGGGGAAATCGGCAGTCGCCTTTTCCTATCCCTCTCTCCCTACATCTTCGTCTTTATCTCTTACTATTTATCTGTCCTGTCTTCTACTCTCTTCCGTTTACTTCCGATATTCATGGCGGCAAGGGTTAACCTTGTGTAGGTATCCCACCTTGGATAATTACATTGGGTTATAGTGACAGCGTACGGCTGGCGTCGGAAGGGCTTGTTTCAACAAGTCCAACCGCGTCCCCTTGTTGGACTCCGTGGTGGGTGGTCGCCGCTGTTACCGAACACATTCATACTTGTATGGCTTTACAAGCATCCGCCGACCTTGATCGGTCTCGCAAGAGAGGCCGCACCGAAGCAAGTTTTCACGTCTCGAAAGAAACTAAATTTACTTTTGCGAAGTACCACATTATCCACAGTGACAGCACACCTCTAAGAAAATTATCCCCATTTTTGGTGGCCAAGTGCCTAAAAGAAAAAATAGGACCCACATACAAAGCATCCAAAATGTCAAGCGGTGACCTCCTTTTGGAGCTAACCGAAAAAGACCAAGTGCCTAAGCTGTCCCAACTAACCAGCATTGGAGAAACAGCTGTCACCGTTTCGGTCCATCGCTCTCTAAACACCAGCAGGGGAGTAATCTCTGAGGAAGACTTCTTAGGCCTTAGTGACGAAGAGCTCCTCGAAGGTTTTCAAGACCAAAACGTCATCAAAGTTCAAAGAATTGTAATGCGTCGCAATAATCAGGAAGTACCCACCAAACACGTAATACTAACCTTTGGAACATGTGAAATGCCCACCTCTCTTAAGGCTGGGTACTTAAAAATAAATGTCAGACCCTACATTCCCAACCCCAGACGCTGTTTCAAATGTCAGAGATTCGGACATGCCTCGCACTCTTGCAGAGGCAAAGAAACATGCGCAAAATGCAGCGCAAACGACCACAAATCAGAAAACTGCTCATCCTCACCCCACTGTGTTAACTGTGACGGGGAACACCCAGCGTATTCCCGGTCATGCCCATGTTGGAAAAAAGAAAAAGAAGTGATCGCTCTGACCGTCAAAGAAAAAATATCATTCAGCGAAGCGCGAACAAGGCTATCATACCTGTTCCACAGAAGTTACGCCGATGTGACGCAGTCGGGGGCAGCGTCACAAAGGCCTCAGGAGTCAACCGCTACCACACCCAGTGGTTCTATGGTGACTCAAACCGCCCCCGTAAAAGAAGCAGCGCCAGCTGCTCCATGCACATCAAAGGGCCCGCAGACTCCGGTCTCCCTGGGCCCTAAACTCAATACAGCGCCAAGGCCTGAGATCCGTTTCTCGGCGCCTCACTCTCGATCTTCCAGCGCCTCAGACAAGGCAATGGAGATCGACCACAAAACTCCGGTGTCGTCGACACCGAAGGAAAAGCGCTCTCTCGAGCGTATCAAACAGGACAAGGACAAAGTGCCAGTAACCACAATAAGTAAGCGATAACCGTAATGGTTATCGTATTTCTTTCTATTTCTATTTCTTAATATTATCACCTATCATCTTTTATACCGATCAATCCCCACAAGTATATTTACTTAACTTTATTCTGCCATGGCTTTTATCGTACATTGGAACTGTAGAGGCTTAATTCATAACTTAGGTGACATAAAGGACATCATTAACAAATTCTCACCAGTAGCTTTTTGCCTCCAAGAGACAAATCTTGGTACAAAACACAGCCACTTCCTAAAAGGCTTCAAAGTTGCCCGAAAGGACCGCGAACATTGCAACCGTCTTTCAGGAGGAGTAGCCATAGTGGTGCAGGGCAGCACTCCTACGCGAGATGTCCAAATAAACACATCTTTCGAGGCCGTAGCCGTCACCATCCTATCATACAAGACCATCACCATCTGCTCACTGTATATCCCACCTCACACCCTTTTCACCACCAAAAACTTAGAAAATCTAGTGGAACAGTTGCCAAAACCATTTATCTTAGTTGGGGATTTCAATGCTCATTCAACCCTTTGGGGTAGCGACAAAACTGACGCAAGAGGGCAAGCCGTGGAAGATTTCATTTTATCAAATGACATCTGCCTTCTTAATTCCGGAGCTTTTACCTACTTTTCACCAACCTCGCGCACTTTTAGTTGCTTAGATCTCGCCATGTGTTCATCGTGTATTTTTAATGATTTTAAATGGGACGTCCTCAACACGTCTTATGGTAGTGATCATCAACCTGGCATCATAAAACTCATACCATCTTACCCAACTCTAACAAGCAGGCCACGCCGGTGGAAACTGCAGCTCGCGAACTGGCCAGTTTTCACAGAAAACGCTAAGCTCGATGAAGTTTTCTCATCGGAACTTTCTGTTGAGGAACTAAACAAAGAGTTCGTCAAAGTGTTAATTTTAGCAGCAGAAAAAGCAATACCGCAATCATCCGGCATCGTACGCAAGAAATTCAATCCTTGGTGGACAAACGAGTGTACTGATGCCAAAAAACTACAAAATAAGGCCTGGGGAATTCTACGAAGATACCCCACGTACACCAACCTCATCAACTTCAAACAGGCAAAAGCCAGAGCCCGATTTATTCGAAGACAGGCAGAAAAGGATTCATGGCAAAAATACATATCATCAATTAACAGTTCAGTCACATCTAAACACATCTGGGACCAGGTGAGGAAGTTCAAAGGAGAGTACTCCTCCTACACAATACCACTGCTCACAAGTCCAGACACACAATCAACACTAGAAGACCAGGCCAACCTATTAGGAGAACACTTTTATAAGGTATCATGCTCAGCAAATTACACCAATACATTCCTGAAATACAAAGAAAATGCAGAAAGACAAAGATTGCCTACTAGCAGTACCTCAAATGAAAGTTATAACCTTCCGCTTACGCTGCACGAATTGAACAGGGTACTCTCTGCCGGTAAAAAAACGGCAACAGGGGCTGACCAAATACACTACGCAATGTTGGCACACCTATCCCAAGCATCCGCACGGGCACTTCTCCAATTCTTCAACAAAATATGGGACTCTGGCAAAATGCCTGAAGATTGGAAAAAAGCCATAGTCATACCATTCCTAAAACCTGGTAAACCCCCAACAACCCCAAGTAGCTACAGGCCCATTGCATTAACAAGTTGCCTTGCAAAAACTTACGAAAGCATCATAAATATTAGACTTACCTTCACTCTGGAATCGGAGCACCTAATAGACGCACACCAGTGCGGATACAAAAAGGGCTGTTCCACCACTGATCACATTGTTAGGCTGGAACAAGAAATACGACAAGCATTTCTACACAAACAGTTCTGTCTCTCGGTCTTCTTTGACCTAGAGAAAGCATATGACACAACTTGGAGATACGGAATTCTCAGAGATCTAGCTAACTTAGGGATTCGCGGAAGAATGCTGAGCTGCTTACACGATTTTTTATCGAATAGAACTTTTCAAGTACGTTTGGGTACGGTACTGTCACGAACATTTGTTCAAGAAAATGGTGTACCACAGGGCTGCGTTTTGAGCACCACCCTGTTTATAGTAAAAATGAACTCCATCAACAGGGCTATACCCCGTACAGTCATGCACTCCATCTATGTTGATGATCTACAAATTGCATGCCGAGCCTCCAGCCTATCATCCTGCGAAAGGCAACTCCAAATTACAATAAATCGGCTTACGAAATGGGCCGACCAAAATGGTTTCCGCTTTTCAGCCCAAAAAACCACAGCTGTTCTCTTTACACAAAAGAGAGGACTGTTCCCTGAACCCGCGCTCAAACTATACAACATCAACATGCCGGTAAAACAAGAACACAAATTTCTAGGAATCACATTCGACCGAAAACTAAACTTTCTGCCACACATAAATGCACTGAAAACTAAGGCAAACAGAGCACTCAATGTGCTCAAAGTACTCTCCCATAAACACTGGGGTTCCGATCGATTCTGCCTTATACGTATTTACCGATCCCTTGTACGCAGCATTTTAGACTACGGATGCATAGTCTACGGCTCGGCGCGAAACTCATACATCCACCGTCTTGACCCTATACACAACCTCGGTCTCCGTCTGTCAAGTGGTGCTTACAGAACATCACCTGTGCAAAGTCTCTACGTAGAATGCAATGAGCCCCCTCTATGTGATCGAAGAGCATTACTAACCTTGTCATATGTTTTAAGAATAAGGTCGTCACCTGAACACATCTGCTATGAAATTGCCGCAAAATGTGACTCGCGCTCACACTATCTCAACAAACCGAACCTAATCAAACCACTTGTCCTACGTTTCGAGGAATACTGCCGCTTTTATACCATCCCTGTTGAATCACTAGATGTCGCTATTAAACCACCAAGACTGCCGCCATGGTTTGACCTGTCACAGCTATGCGAATTTTCACTGAGCCGTTTCAACAAAAAAAGCACCCCACCAGAACACATAATCCAAGAATTTTATACACTTCAGCACGAATATAGGGATTACGAAGAATTTTACACAGATGGCTCAAAAACGGAGGACCACGTGGGTATTGGGATTGTGACGACGAAAAGCGCAATTTCTGTGAAAGTACCTCGTAGTTTTTCCATTTTTTCAGCTGAAGCTTATGCCTTGAGTGAAGCAGTTCGGAAAATCATCGCTGAAAAATACAAGAAAGCAATCATATACACCGACTCACTAAGCACACTAAAAGCACTACATATAAAATCCGAATGTGAGCCTATAGTAGGCGACATTCTAAACATGGTATACTTAAACAGCCAGGCAACCTGCATCCGTTTCTGCTGGGTCCCAAGTCATGTTGGGATACCTGGAAACGAAAAAGCAGATAAGTATGCTTCCCAGGCAGCCCATAAAACAGTAACAAAAGTAAAAATTCCCCTTAAAGATATCCAGAGAACAATTCGCCTGGCCCTACTAGCAAAATGGCAAAAGCAATGGGACACCTGCACGAACAATAAGCTCCACCTGGTGAAACCCACACTCGGGGAATGGAAGACCTGCCGTCACCAGCAACGGTTTATTGAAGTTGTATTATGCCGACTTCGCATTGGACACACACACTTGACACACAACTTCTTACTCGCAAAGGAAGAACAACCAACGTGTGAAAAATGCCAAGAAGCGTTAACACTTATGCACATCCTAATCACATGTCCTACCATTGAAACACAGAGACAAAAATATTTCAGCAAGCTATACAAACAACACGTACCTTTACACCCTGCTTTGTTCCTAGGAGATGACCCTCTAGTACCTCTGCCTGACTTGCTAAACTTTCTGAAAGAAAGTAAGCTGTTAAATAAGCTTTAAAATCTCATCTTTTTAGCGTCCATTCCTGAAAGTCTTGTGTCTGGCGCAGCATAGCCTTAGCTGCTTTTGCGCCATAAAAACCAAATTAACCTAACCTAACAATGTTCTCGCACAATGACCGTGACTTCAAGGCTGTTTCCAGGTCATGTATTTTATCCTTTGCTTATTTCAAAATTTCTGCAAAACCGCTGGGGCGTTGGTGCAGGGGGCGTTCACATACAAAGTTGACATAGCCTAATTACACTTCTTCAACTGAATGCAAGAACAATGCAGTATATAATAATAATAACAGAGTAATAACAGCATACCACGACATATTAAGTACAATAGGCAAACAAACAATAGAGATCTCACGAGTCGCAGCGTTGTGAAAAAATACTGTTATCAATTAACGCATTGTGGTCATTGATGTCGTCGTGGCGTGCATAGTTGGGACAGTTTTTGTAATTCAATACGATGTTGTCATGCCACTTTTTTTCCCCTTCAGTTGTGTCTCTTTGTTGTTAATGTGACTGCATGATGTTGGGAGTTACTGGCCACTGTTATAGTAGTCAAGACCTCGAAGGTGGCAGCTACATGCAGCATGAATGTGCTCTTTGATATTTTGAATGTGGCCAAAACATTTTCATCCCAGTCATTGCCGCAAAAGCTGTACGTGGTTATAACTAAGGAGCTTTAAAAAAAATTCTGGAGTGGGAGTTATCACTATGCCTTGGCAGGAGGTGCTAAGCCAGCATTTGCCTGGAGTCAACATCAAAGCATCGCTTTCTCACGGGATACCAAATTTGAAATAAAGTGCCTTTCTTCTGCTAATGTGAATGCTAGCCTAAACTTGTAAGAGATTGCTGGTCCTTTAGTAATAAATATGAATTATTACAGGTAGCTTGCTCTGTACTAACATATTCCAACACTTCAAGGCTTCTTAAGAAAACCAGTTACGTCAGGACACATGTGGAAGAGCAAATTACCTCTATTAAATTTGTAGAGCGTGTGAGCCAAACGCTGTTATTCTTGAGCTTTTTGCTAATGTCTTATTGTGCCTGTAGTAAGATAGTGATGGTCTGGCTTTTCTTTTCAAGCATAATTTCCGCTGCAGAAGTTTTCTTATACCTTATTATTTAGAACCTAAGAAAAAAAATGTCTGCCTTGCTTAAAGCCATCACTGTCCTTCCCCAAGAAAATTTGCACTAATGCTTCATCTAATAGCGCTCACAGATTCTTTTTTTTTTTTTCTACGTCACACACTTGATTGTGTCGCTAGTTTTAGATCTCAAGTAAATTTCGCCAGGAATTCTACCATCACTACTCAGTCCAATATAATGTTTTTGGTAACAGTGGCTAACATTTAATGCTTAATATGTGTAATGTTTACGTTAATCGAAAACAGTTGTAGAGTGGAAGCCAGCTAGCACGAGTGTCTTTCACAGGTTTTGTGGATGGAGCTGACATTCATTGCTTAGGTCTTAAGCAAGTTCAGTTATCAAGAGACTGTATTGGGAAATCGAAGGCTGCTTGCTGCAGTCTTCACTCTCCAGCAAAGTTTGCAAGATGCAAAATTTTTGTAAATTCTACACTCCCACATATTCTGGCAACACAACCTGCAATCAGCCAATAAATAGGAAGCATCGTGCACGGACAGAGCAGGAATTCTCATTTGCAGTGAAGCCCACATCCTGTATACTTCACAGAATCACAGATAAGCGGGCGAGTTGGCTTGGGTACAGTGTGTGTCTTGTCTTATTATCGTTTTTCGTATTCGTTATAGCGCTGCTTCCTTTGCCTTTACTTTAAAGTTTAGCTGCATCATGGAACAGAAACGGCACAAGCTGCGGGACACGAAATGTTCGAGGAATCTTTATTCTAGCCTTGTCTAGGAACATAACCTCCAAACAAGTGCCCAGATCTATTGGTATTGCAGCCTATACAATCACCAGCTAAATTGGGAGCATTGCGCGCTAATGTAGCCAAAATTCGCATTTCATGTAGAGCCTGCGTTCCGTAAGCTTTTGCTGTGTGGTGTCCGTCGTCCCACTGCCAACGCAATGGTTGTCTGCTGGCGCAGATCTGGGAAAAGAAGCTGCTCGAGTCGAAGGCCATTGACCCTCCCGACCATCCTGTGCCCGCCGCGGCAGGCCGGCAGCAGGCTACAGCCGCTACATTGCAGCCTACCCCACAGGGTACGCTGTTTTCTCCTTGCTAGTGGTCTGAGCGGGGAGTGGTAGTGTCGAAACGGAGCACAAATGCATGTGAGAAAGCCACTTTGGCGTTGATACTAGCAAAGAATGGGAACTGGTCAAGAGCACTTTTTGTTTGTTATTTACAAGCTAGTGAAAGCTTGAAACGTGCTTGCGGGCTAGTTGGTGAGGTATTATGGAATGTGGCAGCGCACAAGAGGTTAAATAACACGTACACGAAGGGACCACACAAGCGCTGTACTTCTGCTCATCGATGTGAAGTTGATATGAAGATATTAAAGTGGATGAAAATACAACTGGCCACTGGTGGGGACGGTGTGACTCTCACTAGACGTGTCGGATGCTCTACCAAAAAATCACTGCAATTCTAGCAGCCAAGTACAGAAGTTTCATTCTTGGGTCATTTGTTGTGACCAAGCAGACCCATTTAGTTTAGTGGCCTTTTATCTCGTTTGTGCCTTCTGAAAGCTAAATGTTTATGAGAACTAACAAACAATTCATATTGTGTCGTGATTAATAATGTGTCTAACAAAGAAAATGAGCCCTTAGATTTACTCTCTTTTCTTGAAAACTAATTGGGCACTTTTTCCCACATACCCTCTAAATGATATTGTGTTTTTATTTAAGGCTGACACTATGTGAGTTTGTATGGATCCATTACTATGATTGAATAAGATGGCATTTGTGTTTCTGTCTTGTCCTATTATCTTATTCTGTTGCACCATTTCATGGTAATCACAGGTAGTTTAATGAGAAGACATGCACTTTTTTAACCAAAAAAAGAACATGCATAATATTTATTAAATGTCAGTGCTATTTTAACTCCTTTACCATTTTTTTCTTTTTTTGATGGGGCACTGCTACACTTCTTCAAATAACAGTCAAATGGCTTTGTTAAAAAAGCTTATTGACCCATAAATAAACTGCTGCAAAATTTTTTAGAACTTGTCAAGTATAAACAGAGTTTATACTTGGCAACAACAGAGTTTATATTTTTTGCAGGATACAACGTTTTCTCTCTCCTTCTGTATCAGCGAGCCTGCTGAAAGCTACGTAGGGAGGGAGATGACGCGGGGCCGGAAGATGCGTGTCTTCGTCAGAACACGTCATGACCTTGCATACATTAATTCTTTTTTTGAAAGGCGCTCCATAATTTTAGTTAGATCGCTATTAGTGCGTGCTGGGGCACCTGGGGTCATCCTATGGTGACGACTGTAACTACACAGCTCAGGCAGGGGGCTCAAATTGGCAAATGGCCACTGACTTGGATATGTGGCATCGTTTGTAGAGAGAAGAGGGAATGATTTCTCACTGTCTTTGAGAATGATTTGTTAACTACAGGCTGTGTGCCGCCCTATAACGTCTGGCTTGCGTCTTCTACGAAGCTTCGACTACTGATCAGCAGCTTTTTCCGACTATACTGTAAAAGTGTTGCAGTGCTCACATGCAGCGTGGGAACAAAAGTTAGAATAGCGCACAGACACACAAAATGGTGTGTGTCCAGAGAGATAGGAGCTTATACCTAATGAAAGAGCCACGGAATCGAGACACATAGTCTGCGCGATTCTTCTCATGCATTCCCATTTCTGGTTTTGTTAGCTAGCTAAGCAAAATTATGTAATCATGCCTAGTAACGACAAGAACGCTGCTTCACTTTTCAGGTGGAATTTACTGTCACCACCTCTTAGCTTCTGATCGGCTGCCATTTCTTTGCCGTCGAGAGTATGAGAGGTACACACAGACCTCTTTCAAGCTTAATCCTTTTTGCGAGAGGTGCTCCTAACATGCAGAAACCTTCAGACGCGGAATAGGCAGCTCGAATTTGTACCCTCAAAAAATGAAACGTAGAGAATTTTGTTGACAAAGGGCCATTAAACCGGCCCTAACTGTTTTTTTTTTTTTTTTGCACTTCCCAAACAAGCTTGCTCATTCGTGCAGAAGGCCGTAGCGGTCAGATTTTTCATCACAGCTCTGTGGGCCATGCAGATAACACATTTTCAGAACCATTTTCACGCCCTTCTGCTGCACCTAAAGAGACACTAGAGAGAAACAATGAGTTGTTTTAGATTGATAAACTGCACTTTGAGAACTATAATATCATAAGTTTTATTGTCATAAGTTCATTGTTAGCTGAGAAAATCAATGTTGAAGTTTTATTTTTAAAATTTTGTGCCGTAATCTCTGCATGTGATTTATAAGAAATTCCACGATGGTATTTTTTCTATTTTTGCAACATTGGCTAAATAAAATTTTCTGAAACATCATGTGCTAGGTCTATGGCACCCACAGATGAGAATATACTTCAGTTTCATCGATTAGACTCTATGTAGGACCCGCCTTGAAAATTCTATGACGTCACAGTGTTTGGCGCGGGAATCTCAAGGTGGCGGCTCCACCGGCAGTTTCTTTTTGCACTTTTTCTTGTTTACAAAGTGTCGTGTTGCAGTTCTCGGGATTGTAAAATTGTACTTTACTGATACGCAAAAAAGCGTTTCACTCTTTAGTATCCCTTTAAAAGCTTCTACGGCGATGTAATCTTGCCTGTGGGCGACCTAGCAACAACCTCTTTGATTGGCCCTCCGCACGACAAAACTGTGCATTCGCCTTTTCGGTGATGTGTTTCAGGCTGCTCATTTAGCTTGTCGCGCCTGTTACATGTTTGTTTTTAGCTTATCATTGCCGTGCACAGCACTTCCTGCGCGCTCTGCCTGCGAGCAACTGCCACAATCAACATGTGGAAGCAGCCTCGCTCAGTCATTAGCTACTTGCCTTTTATGCAATCACTGACGTCCAGCTACATTGCCAATAGGGGCATAGTCAGAATGCTGTGCTATGCCTGCTCTCCGTGAGAGGTGGCGAGTCCGAGCAAGGAACTGAAACCAGCCGAAAATGTTGGTTCTTGTAGCTTCCTTATTTATGCGCATATTTAAGAAATTCTCGTAGCAGCATGTTCAGATTGGATAAGTGCGCAGTCATCCTTTCATCACAAATTTTGGATCGTGGGTTTCACTGGTCCTTTGAATTGACCACTCATGAGAGGGATACAGTAGAGCAGTAATAGCACTTGTTGGATGCGCTTGACTTGCTGCCTCTCTCTTTCTTTTAGCCATTTTGGAAAAGATACCGAGACGCAACCCTGCTTTTGCAGCCACTGCCCAGCCGCTGACGATAGGACCCAATGGCCTGATGCAGCCCACACTGGTTCAGTACCACACACCCATCCGGGGCCCAGGCCTGGTGGACCAAAAGCTGATCATCACACAACAGCCCGGCCAGGCGCCAACTGTCATGGTGGGTGGGCCCCACAGTTTGGTCTGTTTCTGCTATAACCTAAAAGCTTCATAATAATACACTTGAGGGAAATCTGGTGCAAGTGTCTGTAGGAGCTGCGATGTATGGGCCTTCAGCCAGCATGGCAATTGTGAGTCGTACAGATTTATGCCTTCCAGCTCTGTGTGGGCCTCTGACTTGCAAACTTCTAATCATTAACTAATGCCCGAGCAAAGAAACTGCCAAATGAAGTAAATGTTTTGATTTTCCAGCTTTAAATAGTTACCTTTAAATGATTACATAGATAAATTATCTGAATTGCAACTTTAATGCATACCTTTATGTATGTCGCGAGTTCTTCATGCACCACAGAAACAAGGACCTTGCAAAAAAAAATGTGCTTCAGAACTTTGTAACATGTCGCGTGCCTCCATACACACCAAATGAACAGAATTATTTAGGATAGAACTGACGTCACCCAGGCGATAAAAAACGAAGTGAGAGCTGTTGCACGTGCTTCGCACTCTTCACCATCAACTACAAAACAATCGGTTCTTGCATAAAATACCTTGGATGAGACGGCACTAGATTTTCCATGCTAAAAGCTTAATTTGCCGTGAGCATGTAACAGTTGTACCGGTGCACATCGGCGCTAGCTCTGTGCCAGGGAGAGAAAAGATGATGAAGTTCGTGTGTCGCGCTCTAGGCCTCCTGTTTTCTGTGCTACAGCTGTCTTGATTGCCCTGGCGAGTTTCTTGCTGAAACTCCTCCGAAGAACACGCTTGTAACATTTGGTGGAGGTGCCGGTTCGTTCTCCTTTTTGTCCTGGAGCTCCGCAACCGTACTTTACCATCTTCCCCCGGAATGGCTGAGGACGCCGCTCCTTCCCAAGCACCACCTACGGTCATGTGTGCTGGGACGCTTCGTCAACATGACCCTCCGATGTTCAGCTACACCGACGAACTTGACGTCGAAGACTGGCTGGTAGAGTTTGAGCGTGTTAGCGGTCCCAACAAATGGGATGACCTTGCTAAGTTGACGCGCGTCAGCTTCTATCTGACCGATGTGGCTAAGCTATGGTACTACAACTATGAAGCAGAGTTCCCCGCCTGGTCGGCATTCAAGCAAATCATCGCTTCGTTCTTTGGTCGGCCTGGATTGCGCAAGCTTCGCGCCGAACATCGCCTCCGTGCCAGAGCCCAAAGGAAGGGTGAGACGTTTACGAGTTATATTGAGGACGTCATCGATCTGTGTAAGCGCGTGAATGCATCTATGGCGGAGTCTGACAAAATAAGGCACATACTGAAAGGCATAGATGACGATGCATTTCATATGCTGGTAGTGAAGTGCCCTCAGACAGTAGCGCAAGTCATTGAACTGTGCCAAAGCTTTGACCAGCTGCGCAAAGAGCGCCTTTCTGCCCATTGCGCCGGAATTCCCACAGTGGAACTCTCATCTTTGGAAGCTAAGAGCACTGGCGTTGAATATTCCACTTTACTGCCGCAAATTAAGCAATACATCTGTGAGGAAGTGGCTCTTCAGCTCTCTATTGTCACGTCTGTCACCGAGAGACCCACGGCACTGGATCACTCGCTCCGCCATGTCATTCAAGCTCAAGTTGCTGAGGCGGTTCCACCTTCTGTACCACCAACGCAGCCTGCAGCGCCTCTCACCTATGCTGAGGCCGTTACCCGTTCATATGCTCGACCGTCACCAACACCATCCGCCCCAGTCACCAACTTCTACTCGCCACCTCGCCCTGTTCACCCCATACCGCAACCCCTCTCGCCTCCCGGACCACCTCACAATCCTTGGCGCAATCCAGAGAACAGGCCCATCTGCTACGCCTGCGGCATTCCTGGCCATGTTGCACGTCAATGTCGTCAGCGCAGTGTTTATGCCAATTATTACATCCCGAACCTCGACTACATGCCACAGCAGCCAGCATACCCTGTTTCCGCCGACTCATCGGGCGCTTATTCGCGCCGTGCCAGTTCCCCCTCACGTCGATCTCCTCCTCCCCGGCGCCGCTCCATTTCTCCTATGTTCCGCCGTACCAAGCCCACGCAAGAGGAAAACTAAGAGCCGCAGTTCCTGAGGCACGAACTGCGCCCTTGTCGAAAATTTCAAGGCCTCATCTTTCGCCTCCGAATGAGATCGCGGTTATTATTGATGGTGTCGCGACGAACGCTCTTGTCGACACAGGAGCTGCCATTTCTGTTTTAAGTGAAGTTTTGTGCCGCAAACTGCAGAAAGTGACGACACCCGTTTCTGATCTTTTATTACGAACGGCGAGCTCGCAGCACGTTAAGCCTGTGGCGGCGTGTACGGTACATCTTTTTATCAACGACGCATTCTACATTGTGGAATTCGTTGTCATACCAGATGCGTCCCATGACGTGATCCTCGGTTGGGACTTCCTTTCTACACATGATGCGCTCGCTGACTGTGCTGGAGCTTGTCGCGCTTTGTCCCCTTTCAGTACCACAGTTTGTCGACGTCCCGAGCCCGGTGCCTAAATTGATTGTTGCTGCTGACGCTATCATTTCTCCATTCTTTGTCACCCTGTTGTCCGTTTTCTCTGACTCAGTTTGTGATTTGACCACCCTGTTTACACCGTCTGAAGACTGTGCACGCCGACAAAACCTCATTCTCCCATTTGCCGTCGTTACCCTTGTGCATGGTGCTGGTGTTGTCTACGCGTGCAATCCCTTTCCTTGCTCAGCAACTCTATTACGCGGTGAATGTGTTGGACATTTAGACAGTTATGAGGCCATCTTCCTTTTGGATGCAACGTGCGAAAAGACACCGTTGATGATAAATGCCGTTACCTCCGCCGCGGCTACAACCTCCCCTGTCTAAGACATCCTCCTGCGTAGCATCCATAATGCGCTTATGCCAGCCCAGCGCACAGAGGTTGTTCAACTGCTTGAACCCTTTCGTGCCTTTTTCGACATTGGCCAGCCATTAATGGGGCGCACGTCTGCAGTGGCTCATCGTACTAACACCGGTCATCATGCTCCTCTGTGACAGCGTCCCTTTCGGGTATCGCAGGCCGAACGCCGCATGATTAGTGACAACGTCGATGACATGCTGAAACGTGGCATGATTCAGGAATCGAACAGTCCCTGGGCCTCTCCTGTAGCGCTGGTGCGGAAAAAAGACGGTTCAATAAGATTTTGCGTTGACTATCGCCGCCTAAACAAGATTATGCGGAAGGATGTTTATCCCCTACCCCGCATCGACGATGCGCTGGATTGCCTTCAAGGAGCCGAATATTTCTCATCACTGCATTTGCGCTCAGGCTGCTGGCATGTGCCCATGGCTGAAGCCGAGCCTCCGAAAACAGCGTTCGTCACCCCTGACAGTTTATACGAATTTAACGTAATGCCTTTCGGCCTTTGCAACGCGCCTGGTACCTTCGAACGGATGATGGACACCATTCTCAGAGGCCTCAAATGGCAGACCTGTCTATGCTACTTAGATGACATAGTGGAATTTTGCCAGATCCTGCCAAACTTCGAGCGGTTGCCAAATATCAGAAGCCCAGCACTCAAAAGGAACTCTGAAGCTTTATTGGGCTGTGTTCATATTTTCGGCGTTTCATCTGCAATTTCGCCTCCATTATATCCCCCTTGACACAGCTTCTCGCCGGCAGCAACGACCTCTCAGCTTGGAGGGCCGATTGCGATGAGTCATTTACGAAGCTTCGCCTACTCCTCACGTCTCGTCCAATTCTGCGCCACTATGACCCCAACGCGCCTACAAAAATACACACGGACGCTAGCGGTGTCAGCCTTGGCGCGGTACTCGCCCAGCGAAAACCAGACTTTGGCGAGTACGTTGTAGCATATGCCAGTCGTACCCTCACATAGGCGTAGTCAAATTACTCCGTCACAGAAAAGGAGTGTTTGGCAATTGTTTGGGCAATCGGTAAATGTCGCACCTACCTCTATGGGTGTCAGTTTGGTGTCGTTACCGACCACCACACGCTATGCTGGCTGTCGTCCTTGAAAGGCTTGACTGGACGCCTGGCTCGCTGGGCTTTACAATTACAGGAGCACGATATGCATCTGATTCATCACTCTGGACAAAAACACTCGGACGCTGACGCCCTATCTCGATCACCACTGCGTTCCGACACTGCCGGCTCACCAGCTTCCACTTGTTGTTCATCATCTCTGACCATCACCGACATGTCGGAAGAATAGCGCAAAGATCTTTGGATCGCTTCCCTGCTTGACATTTTGTCTCAACGGGCCCCAAACTCTGCCTCACGCACCCTACGTCGTCAAGTCCAACACTTCGCACTTCGCGAAGGCTTGCTGTATCGTCGCAATTACCTGACCAAAGGCCGCAGGTGGCTCCTCGTGATCCCCCGCAATTTGCGCGCGGACATTTGCAGTGCCTTCCACGACGACCCTCAGTGCGGTCACGCTGGCTCGTTCAAGACGTACTCGCGTCTTCGCCTGAGGTACTACTGGCAAGGCATGTTTCAATGTTTCTGTTTCTGTTTCTGCATGTTTATGTTTCAATGTGCGAGTACTGCACATGCATCGGATATAATTTCCACAGTGGAGCCAGTGTAATTTATACGAAACAGCATTCTTCTAGAAAAATCAATGCATTAGAGTAACTATTTAATTAATTTGTTCCTGAGATTATTTGTGTGAAGTTTACTAACATGCTCAGTTGAAGAGTATCCATGTAAGATGCACTGGTATTATACGCGAGGTCTGCTAGTTTTCTAAAGAGTCACGTGGCACGATGTCAGGAGTATTTCTGGTTGCAGGACTTGCACAGCTTTATTTGCTTAACATCTGGCATGGTAGCATAAACAATGCATTTCGTGGCAGCTGTGTTTCTATGTGACAGGACAGGCGTCAACGTATTTCTTCTTCAAACCTACAATTGCTTAGGTGGCGGCTCTGTGTGCGGCTTGGGCATGCCTTTTGTAACTTGGATAGACAACCGGCTCTGCATTCTTGTAATTCAAGTGTCAGTAGTATGTTAGTACAATGTTTTTTCAAGTTATAGCAATATGCAATATGGTGTTTTGCCTATTTGAGTATTGCAGGACTGAAAACGTACTAGCTATGGGGTGGTTGCTCCATGCCTATTGTGTTCATGGTTATAGTGGTTAATTTGAGTTTACTGAGCGTCCTTGGCGCTAAAATGCATTAAATCCAATTCGGAATTACACCCCTTCAAAAAATTTGGACAGGCAAAAAGGCAGAACGCGGTTCTTTACGTTATGTGCTTGTCTGGTCACTCATTCCACTGCCAGGTGGCACTATCTGTCCAGGCAGATCTAGTTTGTGGGTAAAACCCCAACGTAAAGAAGTTTGTGAACAGAAATAATTTAATATAGTGTGATGAGAAGAAGGCATAAATTTGTGGATAGCAACGCTTAGCATAGCAGAAATAGAATAAATTAAGTGTAATACAGGCCAAGTATGAGTCATCTTCGTAAAATGCTTAACATAATGTATATGGAAAAAGTTTCCGTACGTAAAGTTCGCACATGTGCACTCTTCAGATGCTACTGTATTATACCCATGTCACATCGGCACCAGATATTACGTTTAGTACTTGAAGCATTAAGTTACCGCATGAAATTTTCTTTTTTCATCGCATTGCCACACTCATAGATTTAATGGCATTTCACCAGACGAAGTCAATAATGTTGAATTTTGGAATGAGCAGCATTAGGGTAACAATAAAATGTACACACGGATTTTAACAACTTCAGCTTGTATCCAGATGTAGGAGGAATGATAGTATAGGGCCATTAGCTTGAGTTTGCATCTGTATTTCAGAATGTGGCAATTGATCACAGCAACTATGAAATTGAAAGTTGAGTCCAAAGCCTGGAACCCCACATGTTTCCATCATGTCAAAGCTGTTGCGATTCTGAAATTCTGACATGAACTTCACTGTAGCCCTAGTGAGAAATCACATGCGATTTGTTAAAAGTCATGTACAAAACGTTTTTGACATGGTAGATGCAAGTTCTTTGTTTGTACTGCAGGGAGATTTGGTGTTGGAAGTATGCATTTCTCAATAAAGGGGACTCTAGTGAAGGCAGTAGATGACTGATGGCATCAAGGCAAATACCATTTGTTTTGCCCTTGTGGCACCACGTGATTGACATTGAATTTGAAGGCATTAGAAGGAAGTTAATGCCATTGTTTGTACCCGTGTGGAACTGGTATTATTACACTTTCCATATGGTAAACAAGCACTGCTAAAAGAGCTTAGTGATTGGCAGAACATACTGTTGGCCATCGTTTCTGGTATCTATACTTTTGTCGGGCCGAGTTACCTACCAAACCTACAGTGATTGCTCTTTTTCTACAGTCCTCTTCGGCCGCGGCCGCCGCCCTGGCTCTTCATCCCGATGTGGCAGCCAGCCTTATACAGGGCGGCGTCATCAACATGGGCGACCGCCAGACTGGCAACCCCGGTGCCCAGCTCCAGTTCCATCCCGTAGTCACTCTCGCAGGCGAGCACTACACCACCACCACAGCCACCGGACAGGTGTGTCCCAACAGGACAGTATCGCTACCCTTTGCAGTGCGTGCGCATCGAGTTTTCTTTCTTCTTTTTGTTTTATTTGTTTGTTTTGTGCTGCCCTAGAGAAGTCTTGTTTGTGTTTTTGCTTACTTGTTTGTTGCATACTGTACCAGACATCCCAACATGCTGCATTCGCCCTGGTAGGATTGCCCTATGCACAACTAGAACTGAAGGCCAATTTCGGACCTAGTCACACACGGTCGTTCCGCATGTGTTGCCTCTCCAGTCTGTTGTGCTGGTAATTGCAGCTTCGCACACACCGGTTGCAACGGTCTGGAGCCTGTGTAAGAAGTTCGGTCAGTGAAATGTGCAAGTCCGCGCATCTCGCACTTGAATTTTATTGTCATAAATGATGCTTCCGTGATTTGCTCATGTTACACGCTCATAGAACTAATGCAGAAGTTACAATAGGAAAACCAGAATCCCTTGGTCAGTAACTTTTTTTGAAGAGGAGGGCTACTTTGCATGAAGCAGACAAAACAAGGGGCAAATTTGAGGGGGGGTCTTTGATGCCAAACAGAAAAAAATTCAATGTATTGGCAACACTGTAAAGAAATGGAATAGAAATGTTGTTTATTTTTTTGGCACGCAAGTAAAAAGATTGCATCTATAAAAGTTGTTTACAAGTGAAAGCCCCACTTTAGGTAATGAATGGCTTGAGATAGGAATTGATAGCAGAGGAGCACTGGGAGAGGTTTGGACGTTGTGCTAAGGTCATGTAACACTGCCCATGGGCCACAGGTTGCTGACCCCACCACTAAGTGACCCAGAATGACCTATTGACGAGCGTATAAATAATGGGGTTTTGTATTTCTAATGCATGAGTCATCTCTGTTTATCAGCCAGTATAAAAGCAAAAGTAAATATGTATATCGCAATACGCGTGGTAAAATCTATTGGGACGTTAAACCCCACAAATGAATGAAATGAATGAATGTGGTAAAATCTATGCACTATTTCTCAATGCAAATACATGTACTGACTCGAGTTTCGCTAGCTTCTATTTAATTGCACTTGGTGTGTAAAACAGAGGACGGGCATCCAGCAGCATTTAAAATGGCATGCTGCACGACTGACAGCATGCCATTTTTCTGTGAAAAAAAAAAAGAGACAGGGCTTCCAAGACGCTACAGCTCTGGATCTTCAACAAGCTAGAGTCCGCATTGTTGGCCAGGGCACTTTAAAGGACCCCTGACAAGAAATTTGGAACGCGAGATGTTTGCGTTGCTTGATAGTCCTACATAGGGACCACCTCTGACTGATTATTGGTGGCGACCAATGCCTAGAAGTTATCTTGTTTTTAAAGTAGGGGTGCGTATTCATCCGAGTATTCAGGTGAAACCGACATTTTTTGTGGTTTCACGTAGATAGGGGCTCTCCTTATGACGTTGCAGAGGTCAAGAACATTTGCAGGGACAATACTCCGACTGGCACCCGGCGAGGACTATTGTTTGTCACCCCTCTTGCTCTGTTGTCGGGCTGCTTTCGAGGTAGTTTAGGCTGCTTACACCAGGAATGCTTTTTTTTTCTTTCTGAGGGGGACACGCTCAAAGCACCCACATCGTTTTATTCTTCACCGTCCACGGGCCCCCTTGTTTGAAAACAGCACGTTTCAGAGTTACCGAAATTTGAGTGCACGTGGTTTGAAGCGCTGCTCCACTGTGGGGCGCTAGTTTTTGGTGGTATTTAGGCAGGCGTATCGAACTGACGCAAAATCATTCTGAATGAACGTCTTAGCATTAAATATACGATGCAATAGAGCACTTTGTATATAGTTTCGGCATTACCAGACGCAAAGCTGCAAATTACTGTAAAAAACTCGCACACAAAGCGTCCACTGTCAGTGGTCCTTTAAGGGCAAACTTATTGCACACTAAATGCAGCTTGTAAGCATAGTTTTATACTCTGCACATGCATTGTATATGTGCCTGTATCTGTGCGTGCATGTGTGTGTCGTCAACATTTGGCAAGTGGCAAGATTCCACAGATCTATAGGCTGTAGTGCTAAATGCAACTCTCTCTCCATTGACCGCGATTGAGATTTTGGCTGTGTTCTAATTCTTAGACGGCATCGTTGACAGTCTACGCAGACAGCTTAACGAGCTCATGCTGTCCGAGAAATTAAACACGTCTAGACTGCTTATACGCGACAACACGCGACCTTGTGTCAAGAAAAGAAAGCTAAAATGAAGAAACGTAACTGTTGTATTTTCTGGCTTGTTTGGTGTTGAAATAAAAAAACATTAAACTTCTCACGTTGAGTGTCTGGAAAAATGTTTGCTTGTGTGCAGACAACCATTCTGGTGAGATCTGATTTATTTGAGCGATTCGCTGAGCTGCCATCTTGTTTGGACAGCAAAGTAGCCTGCATCGCATTTGTCTACGATGCCGTCTTCTCGGAGCCGTCTATTTTGCCGGCTACGTGAGAATCGGAAGATGGCTGCCGTCCATTTAGCTGTCTATTTAGCCGTCTGCGGTGTGTATTGGAACACACTCTGGTAATCGCTGTCAATGGATGCCCTTGAGATGGCTATCATCTTGCAAATGATTTATCGATGAAAAATATATAACTTGTTTTTGAAAGACATACCCTCCATTATCTTGACATTAAAGGAGCTATCCTCATCAAGTAAGCATGTATTCCTGGTGATAGCTTCTTGAAATCAGCATACGCTTCTTTTGTCCTGCAAGTAGGTGTTTGTGGTGGGTGTGCTGCCCTTGAAACTACTATTTAACTGGGGGGGGGGGGGGGGACAGTACTTCCAGAGACCAAAAGTAATCCATTGTAGAAAAGTAGTTTTTTCATTGCACTGCTGAAATATAGAGTTATTATTTCTCATGTAAATCTTATCTTAAATTTAAGTTTGATAAGGTCATTAGTTCACTTCATTAGTTTTGCACAACATGTATGAACGGAACCTGAAATGCTCTTTAGTTGCTTATTTAGTTTGTCCGAGTTATAGTAAGGAATGATCAAGCAAAGCTAGGTCTATAATACTTCTTTTTTCCGTAAGGCCAATCTGGATATCAGTAAGTGCTGTGGTCACATTTTCAGTTTTCAACAGATGTAGTCTCTCTGAAGTTTGGTATTGATGTTGTTTTTATAGAAGCAGTGCAAAAGTAGAAAATCTGGCAAGTCCGAGTGGGCCCTAAACAAAAGGATATAATTAATAATAAGGGAGTCAGTGTGAGTTCTGTTCACTTTGCCGATCTGTGCAAGGTGCAAAACATTACAGAAATGCTTTTCGAGGACATACTCTGTACGTGTTTGTTAAAGACGGTTGCACTTTCAGTTGCCTGCGCAGGTGGTTACAGCCGCAGGCGCGCAAACCACCCTGGGAAACGTGGTCCAGTTGGATGGGGCGCGAGACACGAGCGACGAGGATGATGACGAAGACGAGTTCAACGAGGACGATGAGGAAGGCAACGAGGACGGGCCTCAGGATGATGAGAACGAGGATGGCCCCCAGGAGGAGGTGGAGCCTCTAAACTCTGATGATGACGTGTCGGACGAGGAAGCCACTGAAAACTTTGAGATTGACAACGTGGTCGTCTGCCAGTACGACAAGGTGAGGGAAATGTTGCAGTCTTCTTAAGCACGCCTCTCAACCTGCCAAAAAGTCGCAATAGTGAAACTTCCGGGCTCTAATCGTGACTTAAGGAAAGCCTGTGCTATTGAAAATAAAAAAGAATTGCGAGAAACTCTGCTTGAAAAACCATATATTTGGGTTGTAGGCAAAAGAAACTACCTTCCTTGTAAATATGAAGGCGTAATGCCCAGTAAAAGTGCTCCATATCGGGTAATAACAAGCAGCAGGAGCTACTGGGCCCGCTTAACAAGCGCTGAAACAAGCCCAACTTGGAGCAAGCGCCGTACCTGCGTCATTCATCCTATGGGCACCATCTTGATTTTGTTTTCTTTGCGAGTTCTTGCGCATTTTTTTTTCCTCAGTGGCAGTGGTAGAGGCTCAGCTGAAGCATTATTCGCTTATGACAGGTAGATGCTCAGCTGAAGCATTATTCGCTTATGACTGGTGGGGGGAGGCACGTGGGGGATTTTGAGCTCCAGTGGCTGCTGCACGCGATAACGAGTTGGGCTTCACTGGCGGTTGCTCTATGCGTCGTCTGCTGTGACTAGTGCTAGCTTCCACTTGCTGGCGTGCAGCCAGCTTTTTGTTTTCGTTACCACTCGCAACGATTACTGAATTCTATACTGCGTCTATGATTTCACTTTGTGCCTTTTGCCTGAAAAACGTCATGTTCCTGCTCGATCATATCTTGGGAACACGCGGGCATTGAAGCGCAAGATGCTACACGTGTTTGGTACGCTGAAGCCTTGCGTAAACCCTGTTTTCTGTGGTGAAGCATGTTAGAAAGAAAGATTATAACGTTCCTTTTCTCAGTGGAATAGCTTATATTCCATCGTTACTTGGACTAGATGATTGCATTATGTTGCCAGTGCTCGTATCTTGTGCGCCATGAGCATGTGAATGGGTAGTTGAAGTGCGCCTGGTGATTTGAATCTACTCCGGCAACCACAACATGGAGAAAGCTAGAAAACCAGCCCGGTTCTTGACCGGCTCGGCCGTTTTTTTAAGACAGCGGGCTGGTTGCCGGTTCGCACCCGCCTTTATTGGCCTTTTATTTTTATTTTTTTCCAAGCTGTTATGCAGCAGTTAGACTAAAGGTTAGCTCAGTGTGCCTTTTTTGTTGGTACATCAGGTTTATTTGGCTCAAGGAATGCATTGTTACATTAAATGGCACTGGGCGACAAAGACCTGACGTGGCGTCTATTGTTCAACATCAATTTAACCTCCTGGTGGCTCATATCCTCCTCCGCCCCGAAGGGCTGGTTTAGCATTTGAGAGAAGGTGGAAACCGTACCTTTAACCCAGTGTCTTATTTCTCTCTTAAATTTGATGTGTGCAGATATCCCGGAGTCGCAATCGGTGGAAGTTTCACTTCAAAGACGGGATAATGAACCTCCAAGGAAAAGACTACGTCTTCCAGAAGGCAGTCGGAGATGCTGAGTGGTGAAGCCCTTCCTCGAGCCAAGGCACTGGAAGCCTTGCCAAGAGTGAAAAAGACAGGGGAGAGGACTATAAACATGACAGCTGTGGCAGCTTTTTTTTAGTTTTTTTTGCGTCATTACATCTGGTGAAAAGTACGTACGTGAGGATATAAGCTTCAGGGCTGGTCGATGACACGTTGTAAATACATTATTAAAGGCTTCTGTAACAGTAAGAGGAAAAGGAAATGGACTGTGAGACCTCTCCTGCATTTTTTTCACCTCTCCGTCGATGGACCACCGAAACGAAAAAAAGAATAAAGCCTGCTGCTGTCTCCGTTGTCCATTTGTGTTTGCTCAGCGCTCTGTTTAATGTTAGAAATTTAGTTCGTGCTGTCATGTGACCAGCTGTTACGTGGTTCTAAGAGTGACGAGCATTTACGTGCCTTGTGATTTTAGTCAAGTGACTAGTTACAGAAGTGTCCTGTGACTACTGTTTGTTACATAGTGTTATGTGATTGTAGTCTCTTGACTAGTTATGTCTTACTTACTCCCGTTTTAATCTGTAAAAATGGAGTAGGTTGTGCTCCCAGGGAGCCGGAGGCATATCGCGACTAATTTCGGAAAATTTGGTGGAGCATATGTCGCCAAAATACGAAAAGCAGCTCTTGAAATTTCCAAGGTCATGGGCAGAAATTTCAGTATAAAATTTATAAATGAAACTATGGCATGGATTTTCCTCTCTGTAGACCTTAAATGATGAAATGAACATCGTGAGAGTTCAGTTTATTCTGTTAGTTCAGTTCAGTGTTACTTTAGTTTTTTACTTCAGAGTACAGTTTATCGTTCTAAACCGATTCATTGTTTAGTTTTGGTGCCTCTTTAGTATCTTTAATGTCAAAGGAACGTGGCTATAGGCTACAAGCCCAAACATCGGACTATTTTCTTAACTTCACGCATAGTCAACATCTTTCGACACAGTGTGCCTTGCAAACTTTAGTCGCATGGAGAACTTCAGTTGCACAGTTCTGGCTTGTTTCTCTGAATCAATTACTTGCGACATTTTTTTTTGAGAGGCTGAATTCCGAGTAGGGAATATTGTCATAACATCACTTTTGGTGCACGCTGATTGCAGGGCTGAGGAAAGACAAGCAAATTCACTCTTCGGACACACCTGATTCTGCGTTGCACAAAGTGATGGTCTCAAAGTGGAAGCCTGTATCTGAATCGCATGTTTGCAACCAATTCCTGCAACCTGGAATTTTTCTAAACGTGAGAATCGGTTGATCTTGTAGAAACGCTAGCTGTTTATAGTCTTACCTTGGTCTGTTGGTTTAGTGAGTAGGGTATTAAGGAGAAACTAAAGAGGAAAATAATTTTTCGTTTTAGTTAATTACCTTTTCCACAATTCTAAAATTGCCCCACTCGCCTCGAGAAGGCGCTTGGTAAGTGAGAAATTGCGCAAAAAGAAAGCTTGGGTGCCAGCACCACATGCATTTTCTTTTGAGGTTCCTGCACCTTATGCCGTGATGCCATAATTTTCACTGTGTTTCTAAGGACTACGTAGCTCCTAGTAGGTAAAAATGAAGTGTAGTCTTTGCTCATCGTACATAACACGCCAAGCTTCGGTAAAGTTTGTCGAGCCATTGTCAGCAAAACACGACTTTGAAACTCGTGATGTCCCGCGTGCACATTTCGGCACTAAATTTAAAAATTGTAACTTGACTTTAATCTTCTCTTCTAATAATGAACTTATGATGGTAAGAATAATAGCACTAGAGTTATTAGATTGAACTTCATTAATCTTATCTAAACCAATTTGTTTCACTTTAGTGTCCCTTTAAGGTTGATTGATATGTGGGGTTTAACGTCCCAAAACCACCATATGATTATGATAGACGCCATAGTGGTAGTGGAGGGCTTCAGAAATTTCGACCGCCTGAAGTTCTTTAACGTGCACCCGAATCTAAGCACACGAGCCTACAGCATTTTCGCCCCCATTGAAAATGCAGCCGCCGCAGCCGGAATTTGATCCCGCAACCTGTGGGTCAGCAGCTGAGTACCTTAGCCACTATACCACCACGGCAGGGCGTTCTTTTAAAGTTAGCCTTAAGCGTGCTACAATGAATGCGCATAATTCCTCACCTCTGGTGCTAATTGTGCAAATTATGATAATTGGAGACTGTAAATGCAGGTTTTTTGAGTGGTGAGAAAAGGAATATTGGGTACTTTGAGTGTCCCAAAATCAACATTTGGCCTGGGACATGTCAGACGATAACGTCCAATTCTTTCAAACTGAAGTGTGGTGATGGTGGGTGCATGTTATCATGCTTCGTGAAGTACCAAGCATAAACTCCCATTTGTTAAAGCAGGAGAAGGTGCTAGTTACCGAGTAAATGCTCCATTTGCACGTAGTCTGCATCATACCAATCAAGGATTCCAAGCAAAAAGCACGAAGTACATTCTAAGCTGCCATCGGCTACGAGTATTATGATTTATTACTACGCTTCTCGGCTAACTTTATTAATCCAGTCATGCACAGTAGAGGCCTAGGAGACTTTTTAATTTTCCTTTGAATGACTATTTGTTGTATAAACGTTCCGCTAAAGCTATAAGCCAGACTCATGTGAAATTGCTGACGATTGTAGTGAACTTAAGTGACCTGCAAGAACACACGGTACCTTCAGGTGCATTACAGGCATTTTATTGTAGATTTCTATCAAACATTCAAAGCATCTCACAGTGATAGCACTAGATTGATAGATAAAGGCGTTTTTCATGATCATATCTTCGCATCGCCACGTTTATGCGGAAGACTGATGGAATAGTGTGACAGGTATTTTCGCGACATGTTACGCGCTAAGCAATAAATTCAAATCTCCCGCTATTGACGTTGTAAACTAGACATTTGATGTTTGTCCTAGATGTACTATACCGATAACATTTGACTAAAAAGGTAGTTGGTTCTACCATCTTGCGCAAAAAATTAAAACCAGTATTGTTATTAATTGTAAAACAATAAAGTGTTTAAAAAGATATTTTAATAACGAGGACATGTGCTACTAAACATTGATTTTAAGAAACTTCGAAGGAGAGTAGGAAAAAAAAAAAAGTGGTCGGCTCGTTTATCGATCGCGTACGCGCGCCAAGACGACTGCCGAGTCGGCTACTACGAAATGGCGGGAACGTCCGAAGATGTCGACTCCTCTCCATGCGACCTGAAACTGACCTTGCTCGAGCTTCGCCTGAGCGCCGGTCTGTCCAAGATCGAAGCGAGTCGAAGGCTAGCGAGTGCGTGCCATCATGCGGCGCCCGCCGAGCTCGAAGCGAGCGCGCTCCCGGAGAATCCGCCACGCCTGAGCCTGGGCTGTCCCGTGCTGGACGAATACCTCGACGGAGGAGCGAGCAGCCGGGGTTTGATCGAGCTTTGCGGCGAAAGCGGCAGCGGCAAGACGCAGCTGTGCCTCCAAACGGCCCTGGCAGCAGCCGCCGCCAGCGAAGACGCGCACGTCCTGTACATATGCACCGAGGAGAGGTTTCCCGAGAAACGTCTGCGCCAGATGGACCCCGGCGAAGAGCGAGGGGACCGCGTTCTTGTGGCGCAGCTGGGAGAGTGGCCCATGCTCGTTCAGTGCTTGGAAAGCTCGCTGCCCGCGTTGCGCCGGACGAGGCGCGTGACACTTTTGGTGATAGACTCGGTCGCCGCGCTGCTGCGGGCCGACCCGGAGCGCGCCGAAGGCGTCAGACGGCTGGGTGCCCTCCTGGACTCTCTGTGGCGGTCGGGTATTGCGGTGCTGTGCGTCAACCAGGTGACCGACGTGCCCGGAGGTCGCACGGCGCCCAGCCTAGGGCCCGGGTGGGCGAACCTGGTCACCACCCGCCTCCTCACGGCCAGGTCGACGTCGGGAGTCCGATACCTGCGCGTCGCCTTCGCCCCTTGCACGGCGCCGAAGGAGCGGCCGTGCAAATTTGTCGTCACCGAAGCTGGTGTGAGGGGAGTTGCCGGCAGTTAATCGTCTGCGCGGGTGTCGACTCTTATACTGCGGGACCAGTTCGACGGCCTGCGAGCTAGGAAAGTGCAAGTGTACGTCTTTTTCTACGTCGGTTCGTGACGTTAGTATAGGTAACAGCTCGTCAGATGACGTATGTGGAGAGCAAAGTAGGTTAAAAGCCTTAGCATACCATTTCTAATGAATGCTGCCATAGCCTCCTCTATACCTAGGTATAGAGGAAGCTATGGCTGCGAATGGAAAACACAAAGTATAGAAGAGGCTGTTATGCTGCGAATGGAAAACACTATAGTGCGAAATTGTGAGAAATCAGCGAAGCGAGGTTCCTTCTCTCTTGTGCATGCTAATATTGTCGTAGGTTGCCTTACATACATTTATTTTCTTGCTCTCTGCAAGGCAGTGTGAACCTAAGGGCAGTAAAAAACAGGTATTCAAGTGATTGTGGGATGACACTACTACCTATAGTGGCTAGAAAGATCTTCTAGCCACTCTACTACTACACATACAATATGCATTGTAGAAGGTGGCAACAACATCCAATCATGGCCATAACCTGTGATGTGCAAAAGTCTAGGTGCCTGCCAAGATATCTACAACTGAAGAAACAATACATTTAAATACCAAGCAAAAAAAAAAGCTGGCAAAAAATGTTGAAATTCACTGAAACACTCAGTGAGCTGCTTGTAAATTGACATTTAGATTTTCCAAGGTCAAAATACATTGCTTATGCCACAGATAAGGAGTTTCATACTATAAAATACTAAAAAAAACCTCAAGCAATTGAGCAAAAAGACAAAATTTTAAGAGAAAATGAAAGCTTTAGCAGATGAAAAGTCTGTAAACACACGAGTTGCTGAAGCCGCTGGACAAGAAGACTTGTCATTTTGTGGAGTCGCAGCCTAAAAAAAGGCAAGCCTGCTTGTCCAAACTTTTGCTTTAGTGGCATGCCATGCATATGAATTTTTTATCTCAATTAAATGATGAGCAAGTTGTGTTCTATATAGCTTGCCTACAGTTCTTTTTTTGCAGATGGTAAAGTCAGGAAGCTACTGGTGACACGATCACTATATGACTGCCATTGATACTTATTTTAATAGAAGTCCTTAACAGAATCCCCTCAAGACTTATTCCTGTAGGCTCAAGAATAATCACATCTAATCATATTGTGAACAGCTGACCTTTATTTTATCTTACCTTCTCACTTAAGCTAACATTACTTTTTGTTTTGAAGTGGGCAATAATCAAGATATGAAGGCTTTAATTTCATCCCATCATGCTCCAAAAGAATGTTAATGGATTGATCACTCTTATGACCGAGATATTTGTTCCTTTCGTGGTCCACGAGAGTCTCAAAAGCTACGCCAGCATCGTATCTAGAGAGAATCTGGCTTTTGTCTTTCGCGTTTCAACAATGTACTCAACTCACGCCCATAAGTAACCACAGCGGTTACGAGGGTGTTTATACCAGACTTATAAAAACACTGAAGGCAACAGAACTCTATAATCTGCTCATAGGTTAACATACCAAATTTCAGTACTATTCATTCGGACTCTGCTTTTCAATGCTGTTAACTTTGCACGTCTTGATGCATTGTTGAAATGGCCACCTACAGATACCGAAGCAATATAAAAACAGTGCATAACCAAATATACCAAATGCATCTATAGGTTGTGACAAATGTTTCACACGAAAATGGAGCCTTTGAAGTGATCAACTGGGGCCAGACAGAATATTTCTCTGAAGCCTAGGTTTGCAACAAAAAGTGGGACCTGCAGCTTTCCTCAAGACGACAGTGAGCAGTTAATAACAATTGCCTGTTGCTGCCCTGGCTGAAATGTTGGCTCAATGTAACTTCTTTTAAGCTGCTAACAATAATATCTGGGGTTTTATATCTGAAAATCATTATATGATTTTGAAAGACGGGGTCGTGGAGGGCTGTGGAAATTTCGACCACCTGGTATTTAACGTGCACCGATGTTTCACAGTACATGGGCCTCTAACATTTCACCCTCACTCAAAATGCGACTGACTGTGGCTGAGATCAAACCCATGGTTTTTGGTTAACATCCAGCATTGTAACCACTCAGGTGAACTTTTAACTGCTTTTAGTTGGGCTGGTTATTCTTTCACGGGTGGTCTGGGCTTTTAAGTAGGTGTTGCAGATAAATGAATGGGGTTAAGCAAATACGGTATAGCATGAGCAGTGAAGCACATACGATGTCAATTAGATAAGGTGGTAAGTTTTACACTATTCCACCACTAATAACGAAGAGGGCTGTTATATGTGCAGGCACCATCTGGTACTTTTTTTTTCTTCGCTATAATTTGATAAATTAGCTACATCCTCATTGCTTCTCTGTGAGTAAAACATTGCAGTGTACAAAACTAAACGCGAATTTCCTCATTGCCCAATGAGCGTACGAAAGTCCTGCAGCCAGACTTAGGCGTAGGCTGAGCTTCTTTGAGTGAAGCGTTCGCTTGGCAGGTCGCTTAAATACAGCTCGAGAGCGAGGCGCACGCACCATAACGTGTGCTTTCGCGCTCGACTTGCACAGGCGGTGGAGGAAAAACCCCTCCTCCCTCTTAGAAATGCGTGACACACGATCAACAAGCGTTCCCTGTCGCGCCATCGTCGGACAAAAAAGTAAACGGTAGCCGAACTCGGGTCGTTGTATTCACGAGGGAGTTGAACGTGACATCGGCGTATGTCGAGCACGGGTAGTGGGCGATAGGCTTTATTTCCTTCTCTTTTGACTGGGCTGCGCGACTGCACAATTAGATGCACGAGAAACGGAGGGACGAGAGGGAGAGAGAGATGCCCGTCAGCTGACGTCATGCGTGGCCTGACCACGAGTGACCGCTCTCGTTTCGGCTGGGCGTGTGTGCGCGGACAGGAATGCTCTACACAACACACACAAAAAGGTGCGAGCTCAGTGCCGTCGGCATGGTAACCGAACGGTAAACTACGCTTAAGTGTCGTAAAACTCGCTACGCCTTGATGTCCGCTAGAATTCTCGCTGGTAAAGAGCGAGTCTTGGCGGCGAGCCGCCTTCTGCCAAACGTCAGGCACCACGTCGGCGTCGTCAGCTCCTCTGACGTCAGCGGCCAAAGGCACGCGCGAAGCATAGAGAAATAAATTCGCCGAAGGGTGGGGCAACTGGTGGAGAAGGGAAGAGAGAAAGAGAGCGCGTCTGCCGGCGATCGGCGGTGTCTGCTATCATCATCATCATCGTCGTTCCCGGCGGTGAGAGAATGGAGGGGAAGGGGAAGTGACGTTGACGCACGCTTCGAAGGGGCGGCAGCAGCGGAGCGAACTGTGGCAGCAAGCCTGTTGGGGCGGCAGCAAAGCAGCTGCGATAGTGGTGGCCGGCCAACATGTTCAGCTGGCTGAACAACGATGACGGCCGCAAGCGGCACCCCGAGATCTACAACACCGTCGTCGAGGGCCTCAAGAAGATCTACAAGGCGAAGATACTGCCGCTCGAGGAGCACTACCTGTTCCACGACTTCCACTCTCCGCCACTGGACGACCCGGACTTCGAGTCGAAGCCCATGATCCTGCTGGTCGGCCAGTACTCGACGGGGAAGACGACGTTCATCCGGTACCTGCTCGAGCGAGACTTCCCGGGAATTCGGATCGGTCCCGAACCGACGACGGACCGGTTCATCGCCGTCATGCACGGAGACCAGGAGGGCGTCATTCCGGGGAACGCTCTCGTGGTCGACCCCAAGAAGCAGTTCCGTCCGCTCGCCAAGTTCGGCAACGCGTTCCTCAACCGATTCCAGTGCTCGCAGTTGTCCTCGCCCGTGCTACAGAACATGACCATCATCGACACGCCGGGAATACTGAGCGGCGAGAAGCAGCGGGTGGACCGGGGTTACGACTTCACCGGAGTGCTGGAGTGGTTCGCCGAGCGCGTCGACCGCATCATACTGCTGTTCGACGCCCACAAGCTGGACATTTCGGACGAGTTTCGGCGCAGCATCGAGGCGTTGCGCGGTCACGACGACAAGATTCGGATCGTGCTCAACAAGGCCGACATGGTCGACCACCAGCAGCTGATGCGAGTCTACGGCGCGCTCATGTGGTCCCTGGGCAAGGTTCTTAACACGCCCGAAGTGGCGCGCGTCTACATCGGCTCCTTCTGGGACCAGCCGCTGAGGTACGACTCGAATCGCAAGCTGTTCGAGGCCGAGGAGCAGGACCTCTTCAACGACATCCAGGGGTTGCCGCGGAACGCGGCGCTACGGAAACTCAACGACCTCATCAAGCGGGCCAGGCTGGCAAAGGTATGTGTGCTGTCCCTCCGGGGTGCCCCGGGTCGAGACGTGCTTAACGAGCCCGCCCGTCTCACGCGGTAGGGGGTTGTCGCCGTCTCGTTCTTTAAAACGTTTCTGGGCAAAAGTTCAAGAAAGTGGGGCAACAGGTGTACCGGCTCGGTCGGCGTACTTGCATGACCTAAGCGCTGTCATTCGTGTCACCGTTACAAGGTCGTACCCTTGGCTGTGTTTAAACCCACCACCTGGTTAGCAATGCAGCAACATAGTTTACCTACATGTGCATTTAGACAATGAGCACTAACATCAGATAAATTACTGTTTCTGCAACTAGTGCATGGATACATTAAACCAGTGCACGTATATTGAATTAACATAGTCCTGCCGCAAACTTGTTCCCATTTCAATTCGCTTACCCCGATATTCATTTCCCCAGTAGCATACAGTTGGAAAAAGAATTGGGCCAAGATGAGATTCGTGCTCTTGTATGAACAAAGTTGATGTAGCCCAGCATGTTAACGTGCACTCGTGGACTAGCCCTGCGACTGCAATCTTTTTTTTGCCATCAATCTGTACACCAAATTGAAATAGTTTGCCTATCCCTCTCAATAGTTCTTCATGCGTAGTAATTGTATCGCATCACCATTTTGTCATTAAACATAGCCCCTGTTTGAGACAGTCGGCACTAGCATTAGGTAGCTCACACTTGCCAGTACTGAAACTAGTTTAGCATTCTATGTGTTCAACGCTTTGAAATGGTCCCTTAACAAGTCCGTTTGTTCAGTAGGATCTATTTGAAAGCAACCACGCAGGTAACTTTTTTAATAAGCCTACACACCTGTACCTGTAAACTGAGCTTGGGTTTACTTCTATAAATGATGGCTGCAGCTGTGATGAAAAATAACTTTATTTGAGGAAAGCATATTCAATATTAAGCACGAAAATTTCATGACAGGAAATAACATCGGCAAGCACTTTGGCAGTAGGAATCGTTTTGCCATTGAGGCATTTTATTG